TCCACCCAAGAAACTCGGTCTGGTGCCCATGTTTTTGCACTCAGATCAAGTTTGGCTTTCTTGCTTCCCTGGTTGGGTTTTAGTTGACTCTCAGAGATCCCTGGGGAAGAGGGGGCTGGAGGAGGGGAAGCCTTCGGGACTTGGGTTAATGTCCTCTTTCTAGATGAATGAGCTCCAGGCTAAATCCACCCAGAAAGCCTAGGACATATAGGAAAACTCCCGGCAGGGGAGAAGAGGGTCACAGAGCAGTTGGGATTTTCTTTCGGTTTTTCATTTTTTGTTTCTTTTTTTTTTCTCTCTCCACATCGTAGTTTGGTTTTTACACAGTTTTGTGGGAAGAGATCTGTAGAAACAGGTTAGAATCAGTTTTCTGCTGGCCCTGCCGCGTTGCTCATTCTGAATGACAAAATGCCATAAAATCAGCAGCTTCAAACCACAAGCGTGCTTAAGGCGAGAGTGTCGGCCTGGAAATGTCACAATGAGTAAACGGTGTAATGGACTTCCACTCTTTGAGCAGTAGCGTTTAGCCCAGGAGCGTCCCTGACTGCCCCCTGACTAATTTTGGCCTCAGTACGCCTCCTAATTTTTCCCTATCACCCTTCCCATCAGGCGAGAAGTCCGTAGCTGTCTCCTTCCTCAGCTGCTTGCTCAGCTGGCTTGGCGAGTTTACTTCGGCTCTGGGGCGGGGGAGGGGGTGGGGAGGAGGGGACACCGGGTACTGGCTGAAAGGAAACACCGAGTCCACTCGTAAATCTTCTCTAGAGCAGAACTTGGTTTTCTGGTTTTGGGTCTCTGGAACCGCTGGAGACAAATGTCCCCAGCGGGCGCATCTGACAGCAGTTAGCGAAACAAAAGTCCGAGGCGGGGGCCGAGTGCCCAGGCTGGGTCTGCGCGTCACTGGGTAACGCCAGCCCCGGGACCTGCGCGCTAGCCATCCAACCTGGGCCTTGGTGCACAGTGGGAGCGAGACAGTGGGTCCCAGACAAAGGCCCTGGACTCCTATATCTGGGCAATCTCCACTAGCAGGAAAAAACGCGCTCCTTCCCCTCCCTCGGAAACTGGGTAACAGGTATGAGAAGGACCCTGGGGCCGGTAAGTCCCAAGGTGAGCGCGTTTCCCCGCTCCGCGATCACTGAAGCTTGACGAGGCTTCTGAGCTGTGCAAGTTCGTGGAACAAACTTCTGGGAGCTATCCCTTACACTCACTTTCCCATCAATATTTAATAATGCTTAGACGGGGTGGGCAAAAATCCAAGGATACTCTCTCCTGTCCCGAAACCAAGAGTGACCGCAGCGGTTTCGGAGCGCGCTCTGCCCCGAGGCTTTACTTTCACAGGTAAAGAAGTCTCCAGAAGAATCAGCCAGGAGCTGTACCTTCTGACCCGCGCAGAGGTCTCCCCCCAACTCCATCCTCTGACAGTCCTCTGGCACGGATACCTGGGGGGCAGTGAGCGACGACCTCCAGCCCAGGAAAGCGCAGGGCCCCAAAAGCTGGTACTGACCCTGTGCTTTCGGGCCGCGGAGTCCTGGACGCATCTCTCGTGTGGCCACGTTTTCCAGGCCTCAGCGGCGCCTCAGCCCGGTTTGCACGAGTCCGAGCCAGGCACGTCCCCGAGGGCCGCTGGAGAGGGTTGGGAGCAGGTCAGGAATCGATATTTTAGAGGTTGCTTGAGTACCGCGGAAACTCCAGGTTAGGTTCCCTCAAACCTGTGGTTACTCACCGCAAGGAGCTCAGAAGCAAAGTGTTCAATAGTCAAGTTGGTGGGGACTTTCCCTACTTAAGTAATAATTGGCTAATTCGGATCTATTGCTTTTAAATATCGAGTTGCAGAGACCTCTGTCAATGCAGGCTTAATTTCATCCCACTGATGAAGGATGTTTATAAACGGCTCCTGTGGTGCAAGCCGAGTGTGAAAACATCAGTTTTATGCCTTTTGATAAGAATTACCGAGGTGGAAGGCTTATTAGGCGATTACAAATTTCGCAGCTGCTCGCAGCCCAATTAGGCAGCTCTTCGAGGTGAGTGGAAACTGTGGGGGTCAGGGCGGGCTGGTGTTCCCGCTCTCCAGCCCCGGACCTCCAATCAAGGCCTCGGCTCTGAGGAACCCAGACCCCTTCCCGAACGCCTCGGGCTTTAGGGGGGACACACACAGCGCCTCCCCACTGGCCTGGGAGCCGCGCAGTCGGGACGGGATGCACTCTTAAGTCTCTCTGGCCGTATTAACAACCTCCAGAGGCGTTGGTTGTCCCGCCCGGATGGACTTGCGATCTCCAACTTTCCCTTAAGAGAGAGGTGCACGAATCTAGACATTTCACGTTAGTAGGTAAGAATCGCCCCAAAGTAGGCGAGCCCTTTGCCTCCTGCAGACACGTGAAATGATGGTCTTCTTTTTTTTAATTTGTCCTCTTCTACCAAAATTGTTCTCAGTTGGAGTTTGGGCTAAAAACCCTCACTACGTTGTTCACAAAAAGAGTCCTGATTTTCAGCACAAGCACCTAACATAGGAAGAGGTAATCTGCAAAGCAGTAGTAGAACATCCTTTGCCAGAGCCAGCGGAGGAGGTGCGTGGGTAAAAGGGGTGACACTGCCTCCAAGAACCCGGGCAACTGAGCAGGAGAAACCCCTAGCTCCTGTGTTGGCCTCTGCCAAGCAGTCGGGAGGTCGTTTGGCCCAGGACCCCGCTGGGTGCTCAGTCCCAACATTCACAGCAGATACCTGCACATTCTCCTCTTCCTACCCCCACACCGGGCCCCCAGCCGAAAGCCTACGCACCGCCAGGAACTCATAAATAAACTCACCGCCCAGAGGCCTACAGAGCAAGGCAAGGTGCGCGCAGTTACCCAGGCGGGAAAGGTCCACGTCCGGCCGGGCTCCGAGAGTAAAGCGGTCGCCAGACTAGCTTTTAGGTCTTCTTTTTCTGTCTGAAGACCATTCTTCTTTTCCAAGGCCAGAAGCCTCTAAAAACGAATCATTGCCTCCACTTATGCACTGATAGGAGCTCTTAGATCAAGATTAGTATTTTGAAAACCTGATTGAGAGCCGCCTGATTAGGCGAGGGTGGGTGGAAAGACCGCATAAACACCCGCGCCCCCGCCCCACTTCCCGAAACAGCTCCAGCGTTCTCTATCTCCAAATGACCCTTGCGATTAATTCTCCCCATAGTAGCCAAGCGGTACCCCAGGTTCATTTTGAAGACCCTAACCAATAGAAACGGTAACTAAGTCTCCCAACTGGCTCTTTAATTCCACTTTCAATCCTGCCGGATGCACGGCCGGACAGAGCCAACGACGTTCTGCACGACCGTCTTTCCATTCGCAAGAGCCGTCCCAAGACCGATGCTATTTTATGGAAAATGCATTATGTCGATTTTGCCCCAGAACACTGATTTTTGCACTTGATGAAAAAAACAAAGCTTTCTGTTCTCCACGCACAGGTTAGCTTTTCGAGAACTCAGTCCATCCCAAGCCCTCATTTCTGTAAGAGGGCACCTATTAAGCATAGCGCTCCCCTCCCCCTACCTGCCAAATTTGAGCAAGATTTCCCAGAGAGGACCCGCGGGGGGTGGCTAATATTAACGAGTGAGAACTGAGCAAAAAAGAAAACAATGGCGATAGGAAAATACTCTAAGGACCCTCGTTTAAGAGAAAAGTGTAATCTGGGAAAAAGTAGATTCGCAATCTTCGGTTAGATCGGCTCACTTCGCGGGGAAGTCTGAATCCCTGCTCCCTGCCCCTCCTCTCGCCCGCTGCCGACGGTTTGGAAGAGAGTACACGTCCATCGCTCTCTTCCACAAAGACCAGGCACAGCTAGGAGATGTGTGTATATACGGTATATCCGTCTAATTGGAGCAACATCGCATGATTTTGTGAAAGGCCTTTTGGAAACAGACTAAGTATTCTTGTATTACTTATGGTCCCCAAGTTCGCTTTGCTTTGTTTCTTATAAAGGGAAAACTGGAAATAAAAATTATTGTTAAATAGTATCATCAAATTCTCCTTCGTACACTTAGTGAAGAAGTAAAAGTTATACTATAAAGAAGCCATCTAGACCAACACATCCTCCAATCCTAATCATAATTAAGGTATTCTGGAGACCAACCCCTCCCTCCACAAACCCTCAGCCAAAAATTGAGGCAGAACCTGACCGCATGAGGGCTTAAATTTTTGTCTAGGTCAAGATGAAAGAGCAATACTCTTTGCCTTGTCGCCTTGGTTTCAAGTCTATTCGTACTCATTAGCTTTTGCGCTGCCCAAATGTTCCCTGTTTCAATGAGAAAACTTTGCAAAGGGAGCGCCCTCCGCTAGATCAGTTCGCCCCCGGCTGCCCCGGCGCGTCCGCGCTGCTCCGCCCGCCCGCAGAGCCACGCGTTTGGGGGGAATGACTAGAAAGTCCGAGTCGTCCAGACCGCGGCCTCCCCTTCGGCTTGCTGCGAAGCGAGATGTAACCTGAATCTTTGTTTAGGTTTTGGTTGGGAAGCGAGAATTAAAAAGCCACGGCAAATGCAGAGAGCAATTTTTTTTTCCAAGTCAAAAGTTAACAGGGCCTCTCCCAGTGGTTTTTTTTTTTTTTTTTTCTTTAATACTGAATCCGGAGTAAGTTGGCTAGTCCTGATAAAGATCTTAACAGGTAGAGAAGGCGGGTTTTCTTGAAGGAGGTGAGACTATTCCTCCAGGAAAAGACTCCCGCCCCCCCGCCCCCCATACACTTCCCTCCCTTTCTGCGAGGTTCCACCCTCTGGAAAACAAACTTTTTTTTTTTTTCCTTTTCTTTTCCTGGAGGGATAGACCTCAGCGAAGTTGGGGGGTGGGCGGGAAATCTTAAGAAGAGTCCACCCGAGAACGGCCGCGGCCACAGCGGCCTCCCCGGACGGAGAGTGACTCGCCGCGTTCTTCCCCTGCTCGGCGTCCGCTTTTATTCGAGCGCCGGGGAGGGGGTGGGGGGCCGGCGGGCGCGGACAGCCTCTGACCCTCTGGAGCCGGTATGAGATAAGCAGCCCCAGCAGTGCCATGTATTGGAAAAGCGATCAGATGTTGGCGCGTAAACGAGAAGAAAAGGACGTGCCGCAGCTGGCAGTTCCCCCCGAGAAGGTGAGCGAGCCGGCGCCGGGCCGGACCCGCTGAATCGCAGTTGCCTGTAAACGCAAGCTGTTGGGGCTCCTAAACGAGGTTCAGAAATTACCTGTAACTGCCTCATCTTCAGACCTGGCTTTTTTTTTTTTTTTTTTGTTACGTAGTAGCGTTAGTCGGTAATCATTGCCTCCCTCCCCACAAGCTCACTTAACCTGAGGCATGGATTTGGAGACTGTAATTTGGGAGCCGAAGCCTCGAGCCTAAGGCGCTCTCGGGTCCATGTGAGTCGTGTTTTTGTTCTATTTGCCGAGGCGATCGTGGCGGTTGCGGAGAGAGGCAGAGGGGCGGGAGGGCGGGAGGGCTGTCGGGGGGACCCGGCGGAGGCGCGGCTGCTTCCACCCGCGGGCGCGGGCGGGCCTCCGGCTGCGGGGCGGGCGGGCCCAGAGCGAAAACGGAAAGACGCGTAGCGTCGCGAAGGCCTTCGGGCGTCCCAGGGCGGCCCCGAGCGCTATTTTACTTAAAATTCCAAAAGAAGCAAACCCCGGGGTACGAGTCACCCGTGGGTTGAGGGAGTGGGGAAAACTGGCCGGCTCTCATCTCACTCCCGAATAAGGACCCAGGAGAGCCTCTCGTTTCCAGTTAGAACATCAGCTGCAGCCTGTGCGTGCCCCACATCGGGTCCCGCTGACTTTGACTTTGCTCCGACGCTGGCGAGGAACACCCGGCGAGCACAGGGCTTTTCTGCCCAAACCCCGCGTTGGCGAGGACTCGGCCCCCGCGGCTGCGCGGGGTCCCGCGCAGGGAGCGTCCCTGCGGGTCCGCGCTGAGGCCCGGGCGCTGCGGCGGTTCAGCGAATCCCGCCCGGGGCTGCCGGCGGGAGGGACGGCGGGGGCCGCGGGAGCGCCCCCTCCAGCATCCCGCCCGCCAGCATCCCGCCTGGCACCGCGGCCGGAGGTTTTGTAAAAGAAGGCAGAAAACGCCCAGAGAGGCTGCGTTTTCGTTTAACAACAAAACTCCAGCGAAGGCTTGCAAACACTTGAGTAATGTGCGTTGTTGCTTTAAAACATTTTGACCGAGGTTGGGTGAGATTTTTTTTTAATGGCACAAATTAAATTCAGCTGGATATTTTCCATTATTCCGTACGCTTTTTGCGCTGGTTAAAAATAATCCTTTAGTAGCTCAAATGTTGACTTACTGAGCAATAAGTGGCAATTTACACCTTAAAGAAACGAGTGTAAATCACTCGCAGCTCTAATTGCTGCAAGTTTACGAAAGAGCTGCTGGCTCGATTTAATCTGAAGCATTTTCATTCAAATTGTCATCGGAACAAGCACCAGGCGGGATTTATCCCGCCGTAATTAGCTTTCAAGTATCCTATTAAACCTCTTCACCTTTCGGGCTATCCAATTCAAAAAGCCCCCTTAAAAATGTCTTGCTCTTTTAATTGAGGTTATTAAAGAAATCAAGTTTCTTTCCCCATCCCCTCCTCAACCCTCTTTTCTTCTCTCCCACCCTGCCCCTTCCCCCTCGCGCACCCCCTTTAGCCCCGCGATCCCCGCACCGCCGTGATTGACGTCTGGAAAGAAAATGCTTTGTGCCGGGAAGATTGTTATTAACTTGTTATCCCCGGCAGGGGGGCGGGGAGCCGACGTCCTCCGGTGAGAGCTGGGGCGCCGGAGCCCCGAGAGCTCCGCGCCGCGCCGCGCCGGGCGAGCCCTGGGCGCGCGGGTGGCCGGCCCGGGTCGCGACGCCGGGCCGAGGAGCCCTGACGGCCGCACGCGCGGCCTGCGCGCCGGGGCCTTCATTAGCCCGCCCGGCCTGCGGGAAAGCCGAGGCTCCGGGCCGCGTGTGCGGGTCCGGACTTCTCGTCTGTTTCTCCCCCACTCCACCCCGCAGTGCCTGGGGCTCATGTCGGAAGAGTGCGGGCGGACTGCTGCCCTGGCGGCCGGGAGGACTCGGAAAGGCGCCGGGGAAGAGGGACTGGTAAGTGGGGAGCTACCGGGGGCGGCCGCGACCGGCCGCGCGTGGGCGGCCGCCCCGTGCTCCGTCGCGGCCCCGCTGGCTCTCGCGGGGCGGGTGGGGAGAGGGTTGGGGCGGGGCGGCCTGCGGGGCTCGGCCGGCCGGGCGCGCTGGGCAGGGTTCGGGGCGTCCCGGGTCCTGGAGGTCGGGGGTCGCGGCCCAGTGGGTGGCGCCCGGAGCGCGGACTCTGGACTCTGGGTGACCGCGAGGAGAGAGACCCCACGAACTGGGCGGGAAGGGGTGCTGGCTGCGAGAGAAAGGGCGCGGAGTCGGTGGGGGCGCCCCGGAATCCGCGGGGCGGGAGCGGGAGGGAGCGGGAGCCGCCGCGACCTCGCCTTTGGCTTCCCGCAGGTGAGCCCCGAGGGAGCGGGGGACGAGGACTCGTGCTCCTCCTCCGCGCCGCTGTCCCCGTCGTCCTCGCCCCGGTCCATGGCCTCGGGCTCCGTCTGTCCCCCTGGCAAGTGTGTGTGCAACAGCTGCGGCCTGGAGATAGTGGACAAGTACCTTCTCAAGGTAGGGAGCAGCCGCTGGGCCCCTGGGGTCGCCGGGAAAAGAAAAGTTTCTTTCCCCCTCTTTTCCACTCAAGTTCTCGCTTGAGGTTGTAGACTTTTCAAGGCAAAACAGACCAATCAAGGGCAACGCCTGCGGTGGGAAGGGCAAGGGAAGAAATCCTACAGTCCCCCGAATTTTTGCAAAACAGCTTTTGGGGGACAGGTCACGGTCTGGAAGTGCCGATGCCCCGGGTGGGTGCACTGGGGTCAGCCCCCGACTCGTGGAGGAGGAGCGGGAGTGGAGAACCCCTTCTGCCGGCTCTGAAACGCCGTCCTGCCTGATTCTTTTCACTGAGCCCCGGCTTAGGTAGCGTCTCCCCACCCCCCATAACGCCCGCGCGCCGGGCCTGCTTTGGAGAGTCCCAGGTCGGTGTATGCGGACCGATTCCCCTTTGCAGAGTCTCTTTTGGGTGAGGACCACTCTAAGTGCTGCAACGGCTCTTTTTGGACAGAATGTTAACACAGTCTTGTGTTTATTTACAAAGGAAAAGTCCCTAGGAACATTTAAATACAAATCATTTCAGTATTTTGCTCCTCTCATTAAGGTTTAATACTTCAAGGCCATCCATTGCTTTTTTTTTTTTTTAATATTATCTCCGGTGCTTGGGGGGAAATGGAAATTGATGTGAGTTTATGAAGATAAGAAAAAAGCCTGGTAAGAAGTGCTTCCAGTGGAGGCGTGAGAGTAGATTGTCTGTCTTAATTTATTTGTTTTACTCGTCTTAAAACAGTGTGGGGGAGTTCTGGAGTCTAAGTTCTGGCAGGCCACCGTTCTTCATGTCATTGCCTGCAGGCGCATGGTCCCCTGTGTCTTAATCCTAACGCTCTGGGTTTTCAACTTCAATACCTCTTTAAAACCACTATTTAAACTAATGATCTCTCCTACACTGAATTAGTAGCAAACCAGTTCACTTTCTCTTTCCTCTCCACTAACCCCCCCACCCATTCCAGTTTTCAAAAGAATTAATTAGGGAGTGTATGAGTTTGAAGAGCAGGTTGGTGGGGTTCTTCAAATGTCCACCTCAATGTACAAAGCTGCTTCATCTGTAAAGTGGAAATGATACCCTATAGATAAAACCCAGATAAAGCACCAAAAGATGTTTTGGTAAAAACATTAAAAATGACTTGAGTTAATCTTTATTGACTAGTAATTCTTAAAGTTGACAGATTAACTGGCTTTCTCTTCAAATCTAAATTCTAAGAATCTCCTTTCAATGCTTCTAGACCTGGGCTTTTAAAAATATTTGAAAATCATCTTTTGGATCAAAAGTAGCTCATTTTCAACACTTCCTCTCAGTAATTAGCATACTGTTTAAGAATGTTTCTGAAGGGATCTAGGAAGACTTTTAACACTTCATAGCAGAGAGGATATAAAAAAACTTTACTGTACAATGACTTTTAACACACCCTCTGAAATAAAGTAGTTTCTAGTATTCATTTTGTATATGTTAAAATGTTTGTATATTGTTACATGTTTGTATGACATGGAATATCCAAGTTATCTGACCTGTCCTTAGTAACAGGGCTGGAGTCCTCCCAGGGAGTCCTCTACTTTAGTCATATTCTACTTTCTTATCCATATTAGTATGTTAGCTTCAACAAAAGTTTATTGCTATATGATTATATAAAAATTCTAAATTCTTAACTTTTTCCATTTTAATTCCTTATTCATCCAGATAAGTTTGAACTCACATCACTGGTAAAAAAAAAAAAAAAAAGAAAAAAGAAAAAAGAAAAAAAGTTAGACCTAGTACAGTATTTGAGGCTATAATTTTTAATATAGAAAAACACCATATCGTGAGGCAATTAAAATGGAGTTAGAACCAAAAAGCACAAGATGAGGTAGATGTATATCTATTGCTCCACCCAGTACTCCAGTGCCCTAGAGTTTGGGTGGTTTTCTGCCCTTGCATACATACACTTGTACAGACTGAGTCAGCATCAGCCATCAGGGACGGCTGTAATGCTTCAGAATTTTCTCTCTTCACCTTAGTTTCCTCCCTGGAGAGGAAATGAAAGGTGAAAGAGGATTTTTATTGTTGTTGTTGTGTATCGGTTTGTTTGTTTCTAGTGAACTTTGAGGAAATGTGAAAAATCAGGCTCTTAGATCTGGCTTCAGAGGGTTCCAGGGGTGGTCGTGTAACTCTGCCCTGAAGCCTGAATCTACCTTTGCTTCCAAAAAATAAAATAAAAACGGGCTAGATAAGATGGAAATGCATCAGAAGGCCCTACTTCTAATTTTAACTTCACTGGAGTCATTTGTAGAAAAAAATAGAAGGTAAATATATCTATTTTCAGGACAGTATTCACCATTGTTAATATTTTTTATTCTTTGCTATTTTACTTGTTTTCTTGTAGAGTAAACATGTACATTTTTTGTAACAAGAGCAATTTCTTTTTAAATTTTACCAAAAGAGGTACATAACTGTGATCGGAAGCCAGTGAAACTTTTTTTCCAGCTTCGAAGTACCTTTTATCTTTCATGAACAGTAGTGCTAATCTGATAGAATTTTTGAACAGTTGATCTTTATTATAAACTAATGTAGCAAAGGGCATATTTCACAATTTACCATGTTTCCAAATCATTTAATTCTCATTTTAGGCATTTAGATCCATTTTTAGTGTGTAACTTTTGTTTTTGTATAATGTCAATTTCAAATGTCTCTGCTGTTCTCTTACATGAAATTTAACTAAGCATAAACCTCGTTCTCCAGTCAGTGTAGTGAGAGCAAACTTCAGGAGCCTGCATTCCAGGCAGGTTCAGTCCACTCCACATCTATTTTTGAAGGCTTATACTGTGATGGCAACTGTTTAAGGTGAGGGTAATTATGATGTGTTCCCTGAACTGATGATATTTCATAGTCCTACTTAGGAAATACAAAGTGCTGTGCTGTATTAAAGCACCATTTTCTGCCTCATTTCTTGAAGTATAAATGACAAGCCACAGTGCTTGGGTGCCTTTTTAGAACTACTTATAATTAGATTTATTTTTTTCTCCAGTAGCCAAATCATTAAGTAAGGTTAGCAATACTTCAGCCCTTGATCCCATTACTCAGTTTGGAAAGGAGCTGGGGCTTCTGCCACATCGACATTTAAATCTACCTTAACATTTATCTTTTGTAAGCAAAATGGATTGTCTGGCTTCTTTACAACATAAGGATCTTTAAAAACTTCATTTTCACTGTCTTTCTCTCTCATTTTAAGTGGTGTACAATTTATAATAATTTGGCCAAAAATTAGATTGTGAAGTTACGGGGTTTCACTTCTTTAGCTAACAACATGTTTCATGGTGGGAAGAACTTCGTAAAAGAAAAGATAAACCAATATATAGGACTTCGAAGTGTTCAACAACAATTTTTGCTGTGTTCATAGAAGTTCCATTTTTTTAAAATGACGTCTTCAAAGAAATTTAAAAAAAACATTTTAACACAAAATGTACAATATGTTATTGTCATTTTTCTGGTTTGGTCTAAGAGAATAGATCTACACACATATTTATGTAAATGGCACCTTTTAGATGGAAGCATTCAGAGTGTGTAGTAAAATAGTAAGGGGCCAACTTTTTAAATCGCCTAACACACAAAACCAGTGGATATCCTCTTAAGTCTCAGAATGGTTTCTCATCCTGCCCCCTTTCCCTCGCAGGTGAATGACCTGTGCTGGCACGTCCGGTGCCTCTCCTGCAGTGTCTGCAGAACCTCCCTGGGAAGGCACACCAGCTGTTACATCAAAGACAAAGACATTTTCTGCAAACTTGATTATTTCAGGTACATTGTGACTTTTTGTTTCAGTCAGTCGATATTCCAAGAAATTATTACACAAAGAGAGTTTTGTAAATAGGCTTCCTTTTCCAGTTTTATTTATGGAAGCCCAGATCTTTTTACATATTTCAAAATAAGAATGCTTCATATTTTTGAGGTATATATGTGTTAAACCAAATAAAATAAGCGTGCTTATGTGTTTTACAACAGTATACAAAACTCATTTAAAATAATTATTCCCACTTTAGCAAATGAAAGCTCTAGGTCTTAAAAACAGGGACACACCTTTGCTCTGCATAGGTATAAAGTATGGGATATAAGATGACTTCCTGTGACAAAGCCCCTTGTTTGGGGGAAGGGTAAGAGGAAATAACTATGGAGGGGGGAAGTCCAAGTTCTGTTTAAGCTTTTACCCATTTACTGTAGAGCGATCCCTAGTTACACACCTATGAAATGCCTGCAGATTGCAACTGATAAACCCAATCAGAATTGACTATTGCATTATGAGAAATACACCAAATCTAATTAGTCTGCCTAAAAATCCTGTTTCTTTGCCTGTTCTTTGACCTTTAGTTTGTCAAATTATATTTGCCTAAGATATTAAATGCAACATTTTCTGTGTGATCTCTTTGTAATTATTTAAATGTGCAGTTTTTCTAGTATAGTTCAATTCTTAATGGATAGCTATCTAGATATTGAAATCGAAAGTCATTTGAAAGCCTGACTTTTAAAAATTGCCATATTTTTTCTTATGTGCATTTCCAAATAAAGAAGAATGTTCATTGTGAAATTGGGAAGTTAATATTATATAATGAAGTTTATAATACTAATTATGTTGTTTATACTCAATTTCAAAAGCTGATTTCAGGGAGTTTAATGATTGATTTGAATAAATTGCTAGGTAATTTAAAACACTTCATGAAATCCGGAGTCCTTTATTTTATGAAGTCAAGAATTTTATAATTACCAAAAACTTATATTTCTCATCAGATACACTCTTCATTTCCTCAAAAATAGTAGCAATGTGCCTTGTGTTTTACTTAGGATATATTAAACTTAATTTTTTAGGTAATCCAAAGACTTGTAAGATTTTGTTTCAGAGGCTTGTTGAAGGTCTAGTTCCTCAGGACATGTTTATACTCCATATTTGATCATGTTCTGAAATATTTTTAGATTTTTTTCAGAATTATTTTTTAAAATGGTAATACCTCTAAAGAAATATTCATGAATAGATAGACACACGTCCCCAGACTGACGTGTACATGCCGAGCCATGATAAAGATTTTGAAAGAGCACATGACAAAGAGTGCCCAGTCACTTGGACTGAGAGAGAAAAGATATATTTGTATATGGCATTTTGTTGTGATTAATCTGCATTTAATGTTCAGATGTGTGTTCAGAACTTTTAGGTAGTATGACCCCTCTTCTGTGGTTAGCAATGCAACAGTTTATTCACCTAAGGACATATTGGAGTTTTTCTTCCTTTCCTTCTTCCCAGTGTGAACAAGCTCTGTTTTTCTGGTTCTTTGATAATATCAGTTTCAAATGTTTAAATGTTTTAACTTTTAAAAAGACATGTAAAGCATTTTCTACTTAGCTTGGTTTTAAGAAGTCGTTTACAACTTCAGTGGTATGCTTTTGAGCTTTTAGGTTTCAGTCTGTAGTGTGCGTGTGTTTGTGTTGTATCTTTTGTCTTGGGTAATTTGAAATGCACTGATATTCGTGACAAGAGAGATACTGAAACATTTCATTTACTGTAAAAGGAAAGAATCCAATCTTTGTTTAAAGTAACAATGAGAAGTTTCTGATTTATAAATTGGTTTGAATTATGGCCATATCTTATCTTGATTGCTCACCATACTGACTTTTAGAAAAATAATTGATTCCTGTTTTATTTTCAAAAGATTTAAATACTTAGCTCAGTCCAGTGAGTAATGTAATGCATTAGTTTAATCTGGAACTGATGAATATTTCACCAAGCGCTCAAATTCTTACCTCCCTTCCTTCTATTTATGCAGAAGGTATGGAACCCGCTGCTCTCGTTGTGGGAGGCACATCCATTCTACTGACTGGGTCCGGAGGGCCAAGGGCAATGTCTATCACTTGGCATGCTTTGCCTGCTTTTCTTGCAAAAGGCAACTTTCCACAGGAGAGGAGTTTGCTTTGGTGGAAGAGAAAGTCCTGTGCCGAGTACATTATGATTGCATGCTGGATAATTTAAAAAGAGAAGTGGAAAATGGTAAATATATACTTAAAATACTTTTGAGTCTTTTGGAACAGTGAATACAGGAATAAAAACAATTTTTCCTTCAGGTCATTTGAATGCATTATTTTGTGCAGTGTAATTGTGGTAAAGCTCATTAAGCACTTGACTGTTTGTGATGGTGTCCATCTGTTTATTTGCAGGGAAGGCCATGCTGTGTGTATTAGCAGTGTGCCATGTTTTTAGTCAACAGCCTTGCATTTAGGATCTGGTTTTGCTTTTGGTACCAGTCATTTCCCTGTCTTAGCCTTCCTAAGGATGAGGCTTAGATGTGCACTTACAACTTTCTGTACTTGTTACTAAGTATTCAAACCTACAAATGGAAGATTATTTCTGCAGTATTTTCTAGTGTGTTTAAAAACTTGACTCAAGGGGTTTGGCAATCTAGAAGATGTATACAATTTCACTCCCAGCCAAAAGATGCAAGAAGCCTGTTATTGTATGACTGGTAGGCCCATCTGTGTTACAAACATGTGTGGTGTGTTTTTTAAATATAGGTAATGGGATTAGTGTTGAAGGCGCCCTCCTCACAGAGCAAGACGTTAATCATCCAAAACCAGCAAAAAGGGCCCGGACCAGCTTTACAGCAGATCAGCTCCAGGTAGACATGACACTGAATTTATAATTTTTGAAGCCCCTACCTACCAAAATCAACCAACCAACCAACCAACCAACCAAACAATCAATCTCTATGTTGTCTAAAATGATTTTTATGTTTTCAAAAAGGCTAACCTGTGCTTTTTCTGAAAAATACCTTGGTGAATGTATGAACTAATACTTTTTGCCCTAAAATATTGATCAATATTCCCAGAGTTATATGTACAAACCAGTCATTCAGACTTTGTTTTCTGGGTTCTGTTGGCATTGGTATCAAAGTGGAACCAAAATGTTTGTCTTTCCTGACTTCCTGATAAGATCACTTTAATCCTGGCATTGATGTTACTACATATAATTGTGACAGAAGACAAAATATTTGGGGACTCAACAAAGAGAGTCATACAGTGTGGGTGTGGGTCTATGAGCCACTAATCTGTGAATCTTTTTAAAAAGCTGCAATGAGTCTTTCAATGGACAAGATTATTCATTTTCTGAGAAGGTTGATTATGTCCCCTGAAAAGGGAGGGATTATTTTCAGTTTAGCTGCCCTAAATATAATTGTCATGGGTTTGATTTATGTAATTGTCAAAAACATTATTATATAATTACTCCTTGCATTATATTAAAATCTACACATGTAATGGTTCTTTTTGGCATTTTTTTCAAAAGATAAAGTCATGTTTTCTAAAAGATTAATGTGGCTGAGGTATTTTATATTAAGCTAAAGTGATATTTATTGAGCACCTGCCATCCACTGCTGGGTGCTCTATACATTGTAGCCATCTTAGCTCAGACTTTAAAAGGACATTTATACCATGTTAACAAATAAGTGCAAGTAATTTTTGAAAAATCACATACAATATTCTAAGACCTGCCAGTATTTATGATGAATACAACTGTTTCAAGATAAGAATTTTTATTTTGAGAATGATTAAGAAAGAAATCTTGATGGGACACAAATATTCCAACCTAACTTAACAGTATTGGAAGGCAATTTAGAATTAAAACCTAAAGCTGTTCTGAAGATTTTTCAAGTGAGTATTTTAAATTTCTTAACTTAGTCATGGAATAAATGGTCAATAAGTAATAAATGAAAGCTAAGGCATTGGAAAGAAATATCTCTGTTCGAGCCCCAATTTTCTGGGTACTTTATAGCAGATTATATAAAGCCCTAAATTAGAAGATATGAGTACCTGTAAGAGACCTGGCAGAAAATGCCCAATACCTAAAAGATGTGTGAGAATAAGTAAAGGACTGTATAAACATAGAATCTTTAATTTAAAAAAATATTGTTTTTTAAATTTTTATTTATTGGTTTTTAGAGAGAGGGGAAAGAGAGAGAGACACACACACACACACATCAATCTGTTGTTCCACTTACTGATGCACTCATTGGTTGTTTCTTGATTGATTCTTGTATGTGCCCTGACTGGGGATCAAACCAGCAAACTTGGTGGATCAGGATGATGCTCCAGTCAACTGAGCTACCCAGCCAGGATCATTTACTGTTTTTTAAATAGGCCATTCTCATAAGGGCTGGCTATGGTTTTAATTATAAAACTGATTTGATGTAGGAATTTATTATTAAAATTATAATTATGAAAATTCGAAGTCACATTAGGTACATAGACAATCTCATATATGAAGATAAATACTAATTAATAAAAAGGGAATCATATTTGTGGTGGACTTCGTGTGCCAAGTCATATGATAGGAATTTTCTCTACATTATCTCTTTTAACCTTTACAACAATTCCTTGATGTAGGCCACCTCACGCAGAGGTGCAGGGACTTCCCTCAGGGTAGAGGGCCAAAGCAATGCGAGAGAAGAGATTTGGACCTTCTCTCCACACGCCTGGTCTTCTCTTTTTGTGTGGCGTCTCTGGGCCTAACAACACTCCACGTGATGGTAGTAGCAACAGCTAGAACAAGAGTGAGATTCTGAATCCTGCAAATAGCCTTATAGTTTTAACTGCAAATGTGCACAAACTATTTATTTCACCATGCTTCATGAAATGAAAATGTGCTGTGAATCATGTTTTTTAAAAAACTTACAATCATAAGTTTTGAAAAATGAAAGCGGAAATGATGTTTTCAAAGCATGTTCTCACTTATTCAATACTTATTAGTACGAGTTGACTGGAACAAATGAGACACGAGCCTTGTCCTCAAGTGGTTCTTTATAATTTGGGAATCTGGGATAGCTGTAGATTTTTTAAAAACTTGAATAATTATATTTTGCCAGAAGCTTTAATAAATCAAGTGATGTATCCTCATTTTCAAATTGTCCTACCTTCAATAAAATAATAAAATAGGGTGATGATCAGTAAGTCAAGACTATTCATGGAGTACCTGCTTTAAACAGGAGAGTTAAAATGAGAGGAATAAACAAGATAATTTTTTTTAAAATTCTTCTTTAGAAACCTATGGAAGAAAAAGTAGTTTCCCTTTCTTTAAAGATTTTATTTATTTATTTTTAGAGAGGGGGGAAGGGAGAGAAAGAGAGGGAGAGAAACAATGTGTGAGAGGCTTGGTTTCCTCCTTCATGTCCCCAGCCCCCAACTGGAGACCTGGCCCTTGACCCAGGCATGTGCCCTGACTGGGAATTGAACTGGCAAACTTTCAGTTCACAGGCCAGCACTCAGTCCACTGAACCACACACCAACAATGGCAAGAAAAAGTAGATTACTACTTACAATGTAAAATACTGCTTTCTGTTGCCACGAATATTTCAAATATTGTCTCACTTGTAGAAATGATATTTAAGAAATTTCAGCTGATATTAATGGTTTGCTTATTGTATTTGGATGCATTTGCCTAATGATTACGTGCTAGGGTTAGCACATACTTCAGTCTACTTTCAGGATGAGGTAGTCAGCTGCTACTATGCAGAATCATGACATTTCTGGCAGAATTTCTGGCCTTAAAAATGATGTGTGTCTCTAGAGGCTTACTCCTTGACCATTTTAAAAGAGCTCAGAACGGAAGTAGGTTGGGTTTTGACATCATTAGCGACAGGAGAATAATAAAACTGAGTTAAAATGGGAAGTGTTTTTATTGTGTGTGAGACTAAACATTGATAAGTACATCTTACTTTTCCTTTAGCACAGTCCAATCCTAAACCATCCGTGATGATTCAAATTTTGCCTTATTTTTTGATGAAAAACTGCCTTATCAAATGTAATTTGGTTTCATTATTAAACTTGTGAATTTGAAATACCTTTGTGAAAAGCATGCTGTTTTTGTCCTATAAATGATCACTCGTGGTTCTGAAAGCAAGTGCTTTTCTTCTTCAAAATTAAAAAGCAAAGACAGTCTTCTCATTGTTTTTTCTCCTTGCAATTTCCATGCTCAGGCTTCTATAAATACAACCGTATTTGCCTATGAAATAGCACATGTGAAGCAGGAAAGGAAGAATGAAGTGAACTAAGTGAGATGATAAATTTTTAGGTTGATTCTACCCACTTTTTAAAGCAAAAATACGTGTGCTATTTACAGAGAGTGCGTGGGCATAGTTGGACAGGAAGCCAGGAATACCTTATCCTGGAAGAGTCACTCATCAGAGAGAACTTATCTGACAAACATATAATTTGTAAACCTCTTAAGTTTTCCTGGAACAGCTTCGGTGTTTTTTCACCACACTGTCCTCAGATGTTCTTCACATCATCAAGTTCATTATGTCACAAACACTATTGACAAGAAGGGGGACATGAAGACCGAGACTTTCCCTTTGCCCTCAGGAAACTCACTCTCCACTAAGGAGAGCTAGACTTGCCGGAGAGATTTTAGCTGTGCTGTGAGTAGTGCGGTGGCAGAAGACAGTGTCACAGGCAGATCATAGCGGAGGATGGAATTAGTGTCGCCTGCTGCACATGGTGTCCAGACTAGCAGAGCAGGTCTTTAGTTGGGCTGGTTGCACCACCTCCACCCCATGCCCATGGACATGCAAAACCATGTTGAATGCCAGACTCTCTCTCTTATTCTTTATAATACTCTCTTTATATTTTATAACACTTCCCTCATTGACTGACTTTTAACTAATAAAATACGAATATCTCACTTGATACCTCTGGTTAACCTTTTCTGAAAGAATCCAAAAACCTTAGCTTGTGTTTGTATTCTGGTCCTCCCTCCCTCTCTTCCTGCCTCTCACTTAACCTTGTGTGTTATTGGCATGTCTGTATCTTTCTCCTGGGAAGTTGAAATCAGGGACAGTTTTTCATGGGTTACTGTCTCATAGAACTTAGCACAGTGGCTCCAATATGAAGGTTCACATCAGAATCACCTGGGGACTTTTTAATATATAGATGTTAGATTCCAGGGAACTCTCCTTCACTGAGCTACTGGGTGTCTCTTTTTAAGGTCCCAGACATTCCTCTGCACAGTGCAAGTGCTCAAAACAATTAATGAAGGAATGGTTACAATTCCGTGGAATACATTCATTGCCCTGTGTGCCATTTGTAGACTAAAAATAATGTGGGGGCCTTAAATCTGTTTAGCTCAGTAGAGACTGGAGATAGTAGTGATGTGATTTTTGTATTTTAAAAAGTTTTCTAATGCTAGCACTTTTTAACAGAATGGGAAAAAACAGTAAATAGACTTAATACTATTTATGCATTTTGTTTGTAAGTTGAAAGAATGGAAGGAAAGAAAAATTGAGAGACAAGCTTTTTATATTGCAACTCATGATTTTTAAAAGATCTTAACATAGCAACTTGTATGTAAATTTATAAAATATACATTCTTTTCATTTATACATATTTCCCCATATTGATCTTCAAGTAATAAAATACAGGTATCCAGTTTTCTTGCATGTCTTCTCTCCAGTCATCAAAATGCAGAAAATTTATTATTTTTAGCCACTCACTACTCACATTTTTTAAACAACAGGTTATGCAAGCACAGTTTGCTCAGGACAACAACCCAGACGCACAGACCCTCCAGAAACTGGCCGAAAGGACAGGCTTGAGCAGGCGTGTGATACAGGTGATTATTTTAACTATTAATTAAGAGATACTAAATTTCTATTCTAGGTCTTTATGAGTGTGCATTGTTTTGTGAAGACTTGTCAAAGCATTAGCTTGTCATTATAGTTTTCTTCACACTCTAAATAATTTTTAAAAAACCCTGATAATTAGCCTGCTTGACCTGGGCTATCATTTGTTAAATGATTTATTGTACAAGTTACTTCATTCAGAGTGACCCTGAGATCCTCAGGCTAAAAAAGACAACTTCAGTTCCAAGCTAGATCTGATTCTGAGGTCAGTATTTTTTTTTATTTCACCGTGATTATGTGTGTGAGTGTGTGTGTGTGCATGTAAGGGGTGTTGACGGCTTTTGTATAAAGGTCTAGATAGAGTAATCTGAACAAAGCTAGGGACGGTTGAGTAAGAGCAAATTTATGTTTGCTGATTACGGAAGCAGAAGTTGTTGGAGCTGAGCTTGGAGGGGCCTGGAAAGGTAGAGTTCTTTCCTGAGCAGGAGAAAGCCATGATATGTAGTTTTAGGAAGGAAAGTTTGGTGGCAGTGCATGGGAAGAATCGGAGTCGGGAGAGGATAGATGGAGTTAGACAGAGTAGTTCGGATGTCCAGGAAAGTAGTAATTTCGAAACAAAACCTAAGTGGTGTAGTGGCCTGGGATTTGAGAACCATTCTATGACTGTGCAGTGAGGGCAGGTGCTGGAGGCCAGAGAGCCAAGAAAAGGACCAGACACTGTAACAGGGAAGCAGAGGGAAGTCAAAAGTGATTCTGAGATTGAAAGTCAAAGTACTCAAGGAAATGGTGCTATGAACAGAAACAGTAAGATCAAAATAAAGTAGTTTTGTAGCTTGTAGGGAGATGGATTTCCATTTCTCTCTGCTAATTACACAATAATGGTGCCATCAGCAAATAAACAGTATTTTCAAGAATGAACAGAACTCAGGCAAAAAGACCTAATGCTACAAAACTGGATAAGACCCTTTACAAAAAGATTATGGACAGGAAAGAGTGAAGAACGGATCTTAGGGAGAGAGCAGGGTAAGAGGTGCTGTTGGAGTGAGAATCAGGAACAGCAGGTGTGAATGGGTGAGTTGGAGGTAGGAGCATCTTGGAAGGTGAAGGAGTGAGCTGAGGATGAAGATTGTCAGGTTCATCTGGGGAGATCAGGGAAATAGAAAATAATTTTAAATAACATTCAAAGCTCAAAAGATTAAGGAATTAATGCAAGCAGAATCTGGTCTCTGCAAGGCAATGCAGGAAAATAGATTTCACTCATGACATAGAACTTTCTCAGTAGGAAAGCCTACAAAAATGTCATGGTCTTCCATTGAAGGCAGAAAGTTTCCTATGCCTGGAAGTGAAGCTTCCTTCTTCGCTGAGGTCACTCAGACACAATGGGCTGAGGCTTCCTTCTAATCTGAGACTCTGTAGCAGCTGTCAGATTCATGACTACTGTGTCTTCTGAGACATTTTCTGATTCTCTGAAGAAGCAAGGACCTCAGATAGACATCTCTTGTGTAATATCCATGTATTTCAGTCTCCAGTGCTATGAGCAAGTCAACTTGATTCCACACCCCAGAACTTGGAGAATATATTTATTGTTGGATGGTGGCTTTTAATATGTGAGGATTGAAGGAGGTGGAGAGGGGTGGAGGAGGGTATAGAAGGAATACATGTGATGGAAGGAAACTTGACTTGGGGTGGTGAACACACAATACAGTATACAGATGATGTGTTGTAGAATTGTGCACTTGAAACCTGTGTAATTTTGTTAACCAGTATCATCACCCCAGTGCATTCAATAAAAAGGAAAAATACACGAGGATTGAATTTAGATATTTTTGATAAGATAGCAGAGGAAGGAATATCAGCATGCAAATATGTGTACACAGGGTGGCATACTCACAAGTATAAACCTATGTTTTCCTCACCCAGTATATTATTTGTATAAATACATGTGTATACATAATTTAAATGTATAGTTCTTCACAGTATTTTTGAAGAAGTAGTAACCATGATCTACTTGCCCAGCCTACTTCCTAGCATTGAGCATATGCTTCACAGAAGTTAAAGAGTTTTAATGATTAGACCTTGATTCAAATATGCAAATGAGGTTATATGCAAAGATTAGGTAGAAACAATGGTCTGACACACAGAGACGAGTCTTCTCTGTGTCTTCTTACTGAATCTTCTTAAACATTAGTAAGATTGTCACTGTACTAAAATCATAAAATAAAAGTGGATGATTTACTTTCAACACTCTTCACCTGGATAAAGTCACTATTCACATACCCTTTCAGATAGGCAACTATGTAAGTTGTGTACTCCACAGATAAAGGGTAAAAGAGTGCTCTTTCTTTCAGTCACTATTCTGGGAATACCTTTTCGTATTAAGAGCTGCATCATTTTTATTGCTGCACCTGTTGAGCATAGAATAATTTATTTAGTCTCTTTCCAGATTTTTATCACATAAATGCTTCAGTGAGCAACATTGTACACATACCTTGTGTGCTCGTTCCATTGTTTTGATAGGATAGATATGTAGAAGTGGGATTGTTGAGTCAAAAATGAAGCATTTTTAGGGCCTTTAACTGATAGCACAGAAATCACTTTCAGAAAGTTTCTATCAGTTTATTCTGCCAGGAGCTGTTTATGAGAGTTCCTCCTCCCCAACCCTGTGAGTCCGAAGTACTGCCATTCTTTAACATCCCTTCTGGTTCGATAATCAGAAAATGGCCTTGTTTTTATATTTTTTCATTATCAGGGAACTTTAACAAATTTGCTTATTTTGTCATTTTATAAGTTGTTTTTTGGTCCACTTTTCTATTGATTTGTTTCTTTTCTCACCATCTTACTTTTACTGATTTCTATTTTCCATGTTAATTTTTATAGTTTTATCAATTTTATTTTTTCCCCATATGGAACTGTTTATATTTTTATATGTTCAGACTTTTCAGTATGTTTTCTCATAGCTTTGGCCTTTTTCTTTAACATGGTTTCAGTTATTTACACCTCCACTTTATTGGAATTGACTATTGGTTAATGTTGGGTAGGAGTTTTTCTATACTTTTCCTCCCAAATGATTACCTAGATTTCTTATTTTTCTATTTGTTTAATTTATTGATTTTTTTCTTGTTCTTCCACTTATTTATACATTCATTGGTTGATTCTTGTATGTGCCCTGAGCAGGGATCAAACCTGCAACCTTGGTGTATTAAGGCAACACTCTAATCAACTAACCTACCCAGCCAGGTCTACCCAGCTTTCTTAAATCAGTATTCTGCTTTCTCAGTAACTTAAAATTTCATCTTTTCATACACTAAGTTTTTATATTTGACTTTTGGACTTCCAAAGAGATTAATTTTATGCATTAGTCTTTTCTTTTTGCAGAATGTCTACATGGCCTGCTTTTAGCTTATATAGTTTACAATATGGAACTCAAAAAATTTTAAGTATATTGCTTAGAAGAAATTTTAACTCTTGTTAGAGGTTTGCAAAGAAGAAGGAAGAAATTCTGTCAGTGAGGAGAGTCAGAGGACTTGTGTTTGAATTCTGACGCTAGGGAGCCCTCATGTCAGAAGTTATTTTCTGAAGTCTGGTGTCCTTAGCTATACTTTACTGTACAAATTACATGACACTTTGTGTTTACAAACCTCTCTCTGCTGATTGATTGCCTGTCTGATTTGTCCAAGGAGCTTTCTGAATCAGCATTAAGGGAGTTATTTCGCTGTTTATGTCATGCCTTCTTTATATTTACTTCCAAACTCTGGGCTTTTTTAAAAACAACTGCATAGGTCCCACCCTATATATAATCTACTGGACACATAAGATACTTTCAAGAAACTCTGGGAACCCCAGTGTTACGGGTGTTAGGTTGTACTCAGTTCTCTGGCTGTATGTCTTCTAGTTGCTGCTCAGGAAAAGGCAGGTGGCGGCAGGTTTCTTTCATCAGTTGAAGGATGTGTGAGTGCATCTTCTTGGCTGGGTGGGTGACAGTAGTGGCATACGGAGCCTGTGGAGAGGGCTGTGGCCGGAGACTTTGGGCATGGTCTCTATATAGGTGTCTAGGAGTCTAGTGCTCCACATTCCCGAAGAGGGAGAAGGCTGTGCCTTCCCCCTCCTTTTCTTTGATGTGTGCCTAAGTCTTGTTCCTGAAACATTCCTTGGTGCTTCCTTTCAGCCACCTGCTCAGGGCTGCACATTATTCATTTTTTAATGCTTGTATTTATTTATTTTTAGAGAAGGAAAGGGAAGGAAAAAGAGAGGGAGAGAAACATCAGTGCCTCTCTTGTGCCTCTCACATGCCCCCTACTGGGGGGACCTGGTCCGCAACCCAAGCACGTGCCTTGACTGGGAATTGAACAGGCAGCCCTTTGGTTTGTAGGCCAGTACTCAATCCACTGAGCCACACCAATCAGGGCCATTATCCACTTTTATTTAGTTAGTTTTAAACCTTTCAGTTTATATTTTACCAGTGCTCTGTTTTTGAATCCCGACGGCAGGGTGTGTCTTAGAAATGAAGCCACATTTTTCATATAAACATTTTTGCAGCTTCCTTCATTTCCACATTGTTTAGACTCGATTCTCTTTTGCCAGCCTGGGGCAGAGAGAGACTTATGCCCCCAGCCTTTCCTTGACCTTTTGCCCGAAACGCCAATTTTCTTATCTTAGTTTCCTTAAAGTTTTTATTCCTCCACTTCTCATGACGGAATTGTTGGGACGATGGCATGTAAATGCTATATTATTTTAGCAGAGTAACACTCTACAGTTGAGTTTTATTTTATGGTATGGAGTTGAAACACAGGCAGGTTTGTTGCTGGAAGCATTCTGGGCAGTGTAATCATACCTATCGGACCTGGATGTAAAACTCTGCTTGCCCTGAATTTGCTCCCTTTATTCCTGGGGAAGAGTGGACAAGCCAGTGGTTAGTGCTTCACATTTTGTGAGCTGTTTCACCAGTGTTCATATTTTATTCTTCTTAAATATTACTGGGTTTTTTGCTTATTATAAGCCTGACTTTAACATGCTTCCCAGGGAACAGACTATGTATTCACCTGGACAAATCGAAGCCAGCAGGTTAAAATGTGCCTGGAATAACTGAATCAAGGTATTTGTAGAAAGCTTTACATTCTCAGTAGGGATTTTAGTCATTTGAAAAAGAGATTTGAAATAAGTCCGGCAGGTGTCTAAGAACACATTTAGTAGTGTATTTTTTTCTGAAGTTCTGCTTAAAAGGCTCTTTCTGTTTCTCTTTTTGTCCCAAACACTAGTAGTAAAATCAAGGAAACTTTTTTGGAGTTCTCGAGGCCCCTTCCTTTTTTTATTTTAGACGATGCTGATTTAGTATAGAATTGGTTTTTAAGTAAATCTTCAAGTAGTTATTATTTGAGTGAAGGAAATGACCATTGGTATTTGCATGAAATTATTTCTCTTCTGTCTACAGACCTTTTCAAAAGCTTACTTAGACTTACGCTGAGCTCGTAGGGGAGAGTAGCTGAGGTTGCACCCTTTTTAAACTGAGTTGTATGTGCTCAGGAGCTGATATGTGACATGGCTACATTGCTTCTCTCCCTCAGGTGTGGTTTCAGAATTGTAGAGCGCGCCACAAGAAACACGTCAGTCCTAACCACTCCTCCTCTGCCCCAGTCTCTTCTGTCCCGCCCTCCAGGCTGTCTCCACCCATGTTAGAAGAAATGGCTTATTCTGCCTACGTGCCCCAAGATGGGACGATGTTAACTGCGCTGCATAGTTATATGGATGGTAGGTATCCTAACATTTAACAGCTGTCTCCCAAGCAGTCAATAACGGACAACTTCTAGTATTAGACCACTGATGAGATTCACTTTTTGAAGTATTACATCAGTCGCAGCTGAAAAACATTGTACGAGGTTTAGTAGGGAGCAAAACTACCCAAACATTCTTATTTCTGTGACTGTATTTTGAGGGACAAGTTTAACACTCACTTTACAGCAAAAATACAAATAACGACTCTTAGTGCTTGATTTCTACTTAGGAAAGAAATGTTTTGTTTGTTTTTTCACCTGATGAATATTTAAATAATTTATTTTCCTATGGTCAGAGAAAATATTCACACTCAGATTTTTAGATTGGAGTTGACTTAGTTTTGTTAAAGAAACTTTTTTATTGAAATAAACATACATATAGTAAAGTGCACACATAATAAATACACATGATAAATTAATAAAATGAACATATCCATGTAAATCCCACCCAGATGAAGTAGTAGGCCATAACTAGCACCCAAAGCCTCTCTCATGTCCCCTCCCAATCATTATCTTTTTCCTCTAAAGTAACATTGTCTTGACTTCTAAAATCATGTTTCAGTATCGCCTTTTTGTGAGCTTTATGCAAATTGAAACCCACAGAAATGTATTCTTGTGTGTCGTACTTCTTTCAACTACATTGTTTATGAGTTTCATTTGTATCGTTGCAAGGATCGGAGATTTGTTGGTTTTCATTGTTGTATGGAATTCTACTGTAGGAGTACACCACAATTTACCCACTTTCCGGGTGATAGACATGCGTGCTGCTTCCAGTTTGGGCTTTTATGAAATGCTGCTGTGGACTTTATGGTGATTGCCTTTTGGTGCACATTAATTCACACTTCTGTTTGGTATGTACCTAAGAATGGAACACAGGGTCATAGGCTACACATATATTTAAATTTTAGTTGATTCTGACAAACCGTTTCCCATAGTGAGTGAAGCAGTGTTCACTTGGACCAGCAGCATATGCAAGTTCAAGTGTTCTATATCCTAACACTGGACGTGGCGTGACTTCTCAATTTTAGCCAATTGATAGTTCTGTAGTGCTATCTCATTACTTTAATTTGCTTTTCCCTCAGTGACTGATGAAATGGAGCATTTTTCATTGGGCATCTTTATATCTTTTTTTTATAAAAAGCCTATTTATATGATTTTTCTACTGATCTATTGGCTTTTTTTTCTTGATTGGTTTTCATTCTTGCTATATTCAGCATATAAAGTTTTTTTTTAAGATTTTATGTGTTTCAAATGCTTCCTCCTGTTCAGTGGCTTGCCTTTTCCTACTCTGTTAAGAGAATGTTCTGTTGAGTGCCAGCTCTAATTTTAATGTAGTTTGTTTCATCAGTTTTTTCCTTCATGGGCAGTGCTTACCTGTGACTGTTCAAGAAATTGTCCTTACTCAACAATAATGATATTCCTGCAGTATCTTCTAGAAACTTTTGGCATTTAGGTTTACAGTCCATCTGGGATTGAATTTCGTATGTGATGTGAAATAAAAAATAAAACCTATTGTTATATTGTTGAAAATACTAATTTCCCAGCTGCTTTGTAGCACAATATTTGATATAAATCAAATGTCCATATGTGTCAGTTTTATTGGTGTACTTATTATATTAATACCTAGTTGTTTTAATTATGCTAGGCCTAAAGTTCTTGATATTCAATAGTATAAGTCTTCCTATTTCCTTGTTATTCAAGTCTGTTGCATATCCTTTACCCTGAATTTTACCAGCTGTCAATTTCTACCCGTCAAAAAGGAGAACAATTGAGATTTTCTACAATCTATTGTAGGAAACTACCATCCTAAGTAGTTCCTAAATAGTTCCTAAAACTATTGTAGGAAAGACTGGGTAATAACTGTCTTTCACATTATGAACATTGTGCTTTTGTTAAGGTCATCTTCAAATGTTCTTGCATAGTCTAGTGACCTTGTACATCTTCTGTTAGGTTTATTCATAAGTCTTTGTTCCGATGGATGCACTTGTCGCTGATATTTCATCCGTATGTGGAAATATAGGTTGGCAGCTATCTTTTTTCATCACTTTGAAGATATGATAACATTTTTTTCTGACTTCCATTGTTTCTGTTGTTTAAAATATGGATAGTTAATTAGCCTGAAACCACTTCATGGTGAAGTCAGCGTTGGTCTTACTTTTGCATCTCTGAAAGCAAATGTCTTTTTTTCCTCAGCATTTCTCTTTGTGTTCACTTTTCAGTTTTACTATAATGTACAGTACTAGAGATGCTTCTTCAATACCTGGTTTGTTGTTTCTGCCCTTATAAAAAATTTCCTATTGTCCAGCCTTTTGACCTTCCATGCTTTAGTTTAGATATTCCCTTCTAACCTTTCAGTTCACTAATTCACTCACTCTCTCTCTCATATGATGTAAAACTCGTCCATCGAGTTGTTAATTTTAGTTCTTTTAACTCCAGTTTTAGAATTTACATTCCATTCTTTTATACAATTTCAACTTCCAAGCTGAAATAATCTATTTTGTCATTTTGTTCCTTAATAAAATTGTTTTATTAATTATCATTATGAAAATGTCCATGTATGATAACTCTAATACCTGGGTTTTTTGTGGGTCTATTCTACTGTTTTTGTTTTTTCCTCTTTCTTTCCAGTCAAGCCATGTATTCTCATTTGCCTTGTTATTTTTTTATTGTACTTCAGATATTGGGCATGAAAGACTAGAAATAATTTGAGGTTCTGGGTAATAACCTTCCACCAGAGAGGATTTAGTTTTGCCTTTGGCAGGGAATAGGCTAGGGGAAGATGAATTTAATCCAATCAGGCATCCATCCTCAGGGGTGTGGTGTGTTTCTGGGTTGCCACAACTTAGATTTGGCCTGTTAAGCTCCCGAACAAAGCCTGTGTTGTTTATTTTGTTTCTGTCACTTTTAACTATGGCATCTCTTCAGCACTCCCTGACCTTTTATATTTGTTTTCCACCACCCTGCCAAAGTCTAACTCCTGAAAACTCTGCTGTACATCTCAGCCTCTCATGCATTTATTTTAAAATCATCACTAACCTAGGGAAAAGTAGCCTCATTTTGTCTCTCTCCTCTTCTTGGAGTTGACTACCTTGGTCTCTTTCATATGCCTTCAGACAAAATTTAAAAATTTTGTCCAGCTTTCCTATTTGCTCTCAGAGGGAGTTTGTGTTTGAAGCAACGTAGACCTTGCTGGGGGGGGAATCTTCATTTTAGGTTAAATAAAAAACTAGAACCTGTATCATTGCAATCATTTACTTAATGCTAGTACCAACATTGGGTGTGCTCACATGAATGACTGTTGCGTTGCCTGAGTCCAATGTGTTTTGCTCTATGTGTAGGGAAGAGGCAGTTAAGCATTCATAAGTGAGAATTTGGGAGGTCATCCTATCTACAGACACCTTCATATGAAAGCTAGCGACATACATATTTGCAGACAAAGCTCATGTGTCTTTCTAGGGGCAGGGTAAAGTGCAGTGAATGGGGTATGGATGGAGGACAGTAAAGTGGCAGAAGCTGTGGCACAAAATAAAGATTTAGGGGTGAGCCATTCCTAGATTCCCATTTAATAATATACTCATGATGTTGAATAAGTTCATTCTTCTGCTGAGGTCAGTGGAATGAATGTAGCTTGGTGTCCTCAGCTATAACAAGTAATAAAAGCACATTAAAGCACATTGCCTTGGATTGTTTTTATTTGTTTTGTTTTTAAATCAGTTTTACTCACCCTGCAAAACTGATCCACAAATTTCTTTCTATTTTATAGCTCATTCACCAACAACTCTTGGACTCCAGCCCTTGTTACCCCATTCAATGACACAACTGCCAATAAGTCATACCTAATTTCTGTTTTCAGGGATAGAAAGGATTATGGATATAAACTTGTCATTTATTATGTATAAAATACCATTGAAAAGATTAGTGAATTTTTTATTTAACACCCAAAGCATTTCCAACATCACTTTGCTGCCCAGGTATGTATCTACAGTTGGCCTGCAAGACACTTTTATTGATTTTTCATTTTTTGTAAAACTTATGTTTACAAGAAGAAAACAAGTCAAAACTTTTTTTTTGTATTGTCTGGAAATAGTTCACTCTAGTGTGTATCTGTTAATTTATTTGTCATCAAAAGAGCACTTTGCCTAAAAGAAAGGACTGACAAGTGTGCAAAATGTTTACAATCCTTTGTGAAATTGTAGTTTATCATTAGTTAGTATCTGTAAGTTATTGTTATAAATATTATCTGTATTTTTTTTGTTACATACAACTTTATACTTTGAGGCTTGTATCTGTGAATTTGCAACTGAAATTTATTTTGCCAATGTTTTCTGATGAACTGAATAAAGCTTCTGTTGTAGCATGTCATGCAAACACATTATTGTGTTTGTGGTTGATGAATTATGGCTGTAAATAACACTATAGTTTAAAAGCCCACCATTCTAAGTTTATTAAACATTTTCCATTATTGTGAAAGTTTCAGTCAATTTGTCATTTTGGTGTGTGTTTTCGACAGTAAGTTGACTTTAATGTCTTTGAAATATAACAACTCTTAATTTAAAAAATTTCATTTTGTTCTCAGCTGTGTCAGGAGTACATTTTAATAGGAAACTTATTTGTTGATTATTGCACTTACTCAACAAAAGAACTCATGAAAACATCTAATTTGGCAAATTGTCTCTTTTGGGCTCACTAATAAAAGTAATGTGAAAGGAAAGGCAGAGCACTTTTCAAAAATGATCTTTTGGGGTATCTCATGTCAGAAATGAAAAATGGGCTGCCAGCATTTGTTTCTTCAGGGGTGACAAAGGAGGCTAAGAAGTCTTTGGAATTTCTGAGCTATGTTTCTGGAGCAGAGACTCTGCTTTTTCTCCCTGGAGAACACTCTGTAGGGATTGTGACTCAGACCTGAGATCTGAACTTCAGTGCTTGATCCTAAGTCACAGTGGGTGCTTGACTCAGAATTTATGGAAGGAAGCAGTGCACCCTCACTCATTTATGCGATTTAAAGAACTAAATCAGTACTCACTTCTTGTCTTTCATATACCAGTCAGGAAAAATAAAAAGGTAATGAGGAAAAAATCTTAAGAATCTTAAGTTTTTAAGTCTTTGTTTAACTTAGCAGATTTACATCTGGCTGAGGACTGGAAGTAATAGTGGAGTATTTGTAATTCTATTCTGGTAATCATAAATGCAACCAGAAAGCACTCATGTGGATGTAAGTAACTTACTATCTGCCTCACACCAGAAGCAACAAAACTACATCTCACAAAGAGAGAAAGGGGAAAAAAGTGTTTTGTTTTGTTTTGTTTTGTTTTAACCTGCTACTCCACTTGGCCAAAAACAAAGAGTGACTGTTGACTATAGTCACTCTATCTAATCTGGTGAAATTGATGCTAATGACTTGGGTTTTAGTCTACCTGTCCCAGGCACAAAGTGGTGCGGTCAGCTTTACCTTTACCAGATGTCCAGGAAAGCCCTTGTAGTCTAGCCAAGCTCTGCACTGTTAGCGGCTGATAGCATTTCCCAGCTGGATATAATTGGCATCATTTAGCTCAGGAGGTGCTTGATTGTGAGGGCGCGTTCTCTCTCTTTTGTCTTTTTCCTGGACTCACCGCCCTCTGACTGTTAAGAAAGTTTTTACAAACCACATCACTACCCTTTATAGTTCCAGAGATGAATGCCCAAAGTTGAGGCAAATCTTCCATAACAGAGAGGTTCAGAGCTGTCAAAATGAGATTTATTTATCCTGCATCTAAAATAGTTAATATTAATTATGAAAATTGTTAATATTAATAACTAAAATTTATTTGATACAAACATATAACTATGTTTTTATTTCAATTGGTGGAACACAGAGGTCCTAATTTTACAACTTGAAATTAGGAAAGAATTGAAGTATTTCCATGTTAGTAATGATCAGTGTAAGCATGTAGGCAGCAGTGTTTATTTGCTTAAAATTGACGGTGATCAAGCAATTTTTATGAGTATTGTAGGTAGACTTTTGTTGGACTAGCAAAGCCCTGGATAACAAGTAGTTACCTCTTAGGCATTCAGAGATTCCTGAGCTGAACGAGGGCAAAATAACAGGTTTGCTATGCAAATCAATTAAGTCACCAGTTCAAACATTGACACTGAAGTTGCACTAAGTCAGTACCTTTAAGTGATTCTTGTTAGTAGGTAGCATGAACATTTAGCAGTAATTTCACATTATGCAAACGTCATTCTTACAAGGTCACATTACTTTTTCAAATGATAAGTACATCTGTTTTGAGTGTATCATAATAAACACAATTAGAATCATAGTTCATGCTTTTAAATATTGTTGCAAGTATTTGAAAGCAGATAGCCATAGTATTTCTTGAGTTGGTAAATTATGCATGTAATTACTCTAGTAGCATTATGAGACTAGATGGGATCTTGGGACTTTGTTATGGCATGGAGGGTTTTACCTGGTAGTTGAAGAAATGCTTCTATTTAATAAAATACACAGAACAGGAATCATTTGAATTGCCAAAAGGACATTAGCTCAGGAAAATTTCTCAATGACCCCCACCCCAGTAAATAAAGGAACCGAAATTAACACTATTTGATTTTTGCTCTTTTGAAGCACAACTAAATTTTTGAAAAGAGAAATTGGTTTGAATTCAAAACAAGTTCAAGTACACTAAATAATGTCGAAGAAACATCTGCTTGAATTTGATCACATAGTAAATACTATTTTGTAGTCTGCTTCCCCCTTTAATATAATAAACACTTTTTCAAGTGAAATATTTATCTATAACACCATTTTAATAGATAGTACTACATTGCTGAGATAAAACCTTATTAGATATGTAGGTTATTTTCATCTTTCACTATAATAATCTAACAATGTGAGAACTTTCAGTGTGCCCTCTCTGAGCACAGTCTTAGATGTATTTTGTTAGCTATTTACAGCCACCTTATGAAACAGATTCTATTGTGATCACCATTATTTTAGAAATGTAGAAATTAAAAAGTAATATGTCCAGGGTTTCAGTGAGGATGACTAAAGCCCGTATTTGAACCTTGCAGCTCAATGACCCGAGAGACCATGTCCTTGTGTGCTTTAAGCATTCTCTGTTTCAAGTAACATCACCGTGAGCCTCTTCACAGCTGCCTTTTTATTCACATTCTATTTCCCATGTACAAATTCTTAGAAGTGGAATTGATTTGCATGCATAGTTTTAAGATTCTTGAAATTCATTAATTGCCCCAGAAATTCTGTACCGATCTGTGCTTCCACCAACAGTGTCCAAGGTGTTTTCCAGAGTATTTGTCTATTGTGCCTACCAATGGAATTAATAGAATCTTAATTGTTTTCCAATTTGATGCTCAAAAAGATAGCTTTTAAAGCCTTATGTCTCATTTGTTACTTGATATAAATTTTTAATTTACATTTCAGAAAAATAATTTCTTGACAAAAGCTTATAGAAACACAAGCTACCACTTTTGCTATCTTTCTTGCTTCAGTTATTCTGTATAAGTGGCTAAGTGAACATTTTTTAGGATTTGTTCAGCTAAGGTGTCATTCACTTGATATCAGATGTTTTGCTTCTGTACCTGGCACTCAATACTATCATATTTTATTAGCTTTGTTGGTGATTATATTGAAACCTTTATGTATGTACATGGCCCTTCACACATTTCAAATGCATTTCTGTCCATCATCATGTCTCCACTCAATATATGAGGGGACTAAAATGAAAAAAAAAACAAACTTTGATTTACATAATTAAGCCTTTGGTTTTAATATACAAGAATTCTCCAGAGCATCAGATTATTTTTGTAAATTTGTAGAGCTCTCAGGAGTATAAGTTCATGAGTGTTTCCCCATTGCTTGGGTTTTATAAGCAATTCTAAAAAAGACAGACTTCCATGTGCTCAGAGGATGTGAAGACTCTTGCAGGAAACACCCCCCTGCCTCTCTACACGGTGCCAACACGTGCAGTACTCACCAAGAATCCACCAAGGACCTGCAGGTGGTGGGGACTGAGAGCAGCGCTTAGGTGTGGATGGTGTATTTGTGTGGGTATGGGGGCATCACAGGACGAGAGAAGGCTGTTAAAAAGTAAGAGGAGAAATAATCCTGGGAAGAGCTTGCTTTCCATTACATTCCACAGTGTCATGTGGTAAACACTCTGCTGATTGAATGAAGTTGATAGGAAAATAATCAGAATAATGCTCATGCTTGAGCACCCTAGGAGAACTTCAAATTCCAAAAGAGCTCTCCTTAAATTCTCAAAATATGCCCTGGCTGGTGTAGCTCAGTGGATTGAGCGCAGGCCTGCGAACCAGAGGATCGCGGTTCAATTCCCAGTCAGGGCACATGCCTGGGTTGCAAGCCAGTTCCCTGCAGGTCAGTTCCCAGCAGGGGATGCATGAAAGGCAACCATACATTGATGTTTCTCTCCCTCTCTCCTTCCTCTCTAAAGATAAATAAGTAAAATAAAAAAAATTCTCAAAATATTATTTCTCACTTCAGCAAATATCTTTTTTTCTTGAAATTTTTTAAAATTAAGGAATATGGTTCTTGCCATTTGAAAAGAACCAAGTGATTGAACATCATTGGTAGATCTGAATCAAGAATAGGTGATTTATTAAAGTGACATTCTCAATTTGTACATTTCATGAGAAAAGAATAATTGGAAAATATTCCCCACCTTAATCCAATGAGATTCTAATGGGATATAAAATAAAAGCTTTTGCTTACAAATAACTAGGCTATGCTCTTAGTTATTTTTTTTACCATTTTAAAAATTGCTACAGAGACTTGAATTGCATGAGAAATTCCTTTAAAAGTCTAGAGATAGGTTCACTCCAGGCAGTTGTCCTTCTCTTTAAAAACAATTTTCATCCATTGTCAAGTAGCTCTTGTGCAAAATCAGCTTTTTCTCTGGCGGTTGACCTGACCCTCAGGTCCTGTCAGGGGTACTTCTTGAGTAGGGGTACTTCTTGAGTAGGTGCACTGTGACATCCTTCACAGTGAGCATGGTCTCCATACAGGGGGGTTTGATGAGTACCTCTGGGAGTAAAAACCCAGAATGCCCAGTGTCATGTAGTTCAAAAGAAAATGTGTAGTGTACTCCATTTTTATAGGCCCAATC